GGCTCTGTGCAAGCTGTTAGAGGAGAGACTTTATTCGGAGTGCCATGCCTGGAGGCATCCGATTGAGTACTCCAGCAGGACCCAGTGACGCAGCTGCAGTGGGGATATCGCGGTCTGGTCGCACGGCCGATCCAGAACTGTGAGGGATCCAGCAGCCCCAGCTGAGTGAGGGGAGCCAGACGGTGGTGACAGAGACAGCTGCCCAGTACCCTGGATGAGTGGAGGCCTTGCTCAAGAGACCCCCAGATGACTTCATCATCTTCACAGGAGTCGGCTTGAAAGTATATGTATAAAGTCACTTGCACTCCAAAACTATTTATTTTCTTTTTTTTTTTTTTTCACAAGTACATTTTTTTATTTATTGTGATAAGAAATAACAAACAGTTATGGTATGAACAGGTACATACAGTTAAAGTATCTAACAAGAAGTATAGTTTGCTTGGTATGAGGGAATGCGGGAAAAGGGGGAGGTCTGGGGGGGGGACGAAACTCCCCTTGGCTGTCATAGAACATTTTCGCGGTCGGATTTGCTTCGGGTGACCAGGAGTGCAGGAATGAGGATTGGAGTCCCGGGGGGAAAGCGGGGTTCATTCGGATCGGGGTAAGCGGCCCAGGGGTCGATGAAATGCCTGCGGTCTTGCACATGGTTTCAAAGAGGCGCAGGGTGTTGCCTATCGTGGGGTGAGTTAATACTTGAGGTGGGAGTGCGGGGCGCTGAAGCCAGGGCCAAGAGCCGATTGGTGATCTCGCTTGGAGTTGCTCAATTTGGACCCATTCTTTATATAGGCCATATTTGGCCCAATCTATGATACGTGTGAGGTGGCAAGCCCGATAGTAATTTTGTACGTGGGGAAGTCCTATACCCCCGGAGGATTTCGAGCGGGTTAAAGTGGAGAACCCGATTCATGGTGATCTACCTTCCCATAAAAAGGTGCGAAAAAGAGCAGTGACTGAGGAGAAGAAGGCTTTGGGAAGAGCGATGGGTATAGTCTGGAACAAGTATAGCAATCGTGGCATGGCAGTCATTTTAAGGATTGCCGCACGACCAAACCAGGAATATAACCCCTTGTTCCATTCTTTCATATCCCTTCGTAATCGGGATAGTTGAGTAACAAAATTAAGGGGATATAGCTTCTTCAAATCAGTGGGAAGCTCAATGCCCAGGTAGGTAATGGAGGTGGTCGCCCACCGGAAGGGAAAGTGTAGTTTGCAGAAGTGGACCAGGTCATCTGGAAGGGAAACATTCAGTGCAGCTGATTTTGATAGATTAATTTTAAAGAATGAGATTGATGCGAATTCCTGAAGTGCACTCAGTAGGTTGGGGAGTGATATTCTCGGTTGCGTCAGGAAAAATAGCAAGTCGTCTGCAAAGGCGGCCACTTTAAAGTCCTTGTAGGGCGTGCGGAATCCATGGATGCTCGGGTCTGCGCGTATCTTCCGAAGGAAGGGCTCCAGTGCCAACACAAACAACAGTGGGGATAGGGGACATCCCTGTCGTGTACCATTGAAAATGGGGAAGGCCTCTGACAGTGTGCCGTTCACCCGGATCTTTGCTGTTGGTTTGTGGTACAGTAGGGCTATGCGGTCCATCATTTTAGGGCCCAAACCAAGGTGGGTCAAAGAGGCAAAAAGATAGTCCTACGCCACCCTATCACATGCCTTCTCGGCATCTGTAGAGAGGAAGAAGCCTGCGCGGCCTCTGCTTTTAATCCAGTGATGAAGGCCTATGGCTTTCGTGGTGTTATCGCGGGCTTCTCGTCCTGGAATAAAGCCCACTTGGTCGCCATCGATTATGTCCGGAAGAAGAGAAGCTAAGCGGTTGGCGAGTATTTTAGCATGTAACTTGACATCTATGTTGAGCAGGGAGATGGGGCGGTAGCTGGCACATAGGGATTCGTCTTTTCCTGGTTTTGGCAAGACGTAGCGGATCGCCCTGTCCGGGGAGAGAAGCAGGGGAGAGCCGATGGTGCTGGTAACAGTGAGGAATAGGGAGAGTTGTGGCAGTCTCGACCAAAATTTCAATTGAAGTTTTGTGTTGGGGGGAAAGGCCTCAGTGATCGGGGGGTACCTGATATCGATGTTGACCGAAATCCAGATCTCCAAGATGTAGAGCGACCAGGGGTTGGTATCAGTCTTGACTGTTGTGTTCATCCAGAGAGAGGAGGGTGGAGAGGGCACGATCTAGGACCAGCAGGGCTGTTATGGGTGTGTTGAGCGATCCCTTCCGCGGGTCGGGGTGCGAAGTAGCCTTCCATCTGGTGGGCCCGATGGTGAGATCGGTGGAGGACTATCCGGCAGACGAAAATCCGCATACCATTCCGGAAGATCCATGGGGGGAATGCCGAGCTGCTCGCAACCTGCAGTCACTTTGGCACCGACCCGACTCTAAGGGTATTATTCGATCAGGAGTGCGATGGGCACACTGGATGTTGGGCTTGGGAGAAAGGGGACGTCCGTCTCTTGCTGGCGGACATTATCTCTTCTACCTGACCCTGCGAGTGGTGAGAGGCCTTCAGCCATTGTGACACTTTACCTGTAACAACTGCTATACAGTACGGGCCCCAACGATGGTTAGCCTAGGACATTGCTACTGGCCAGTAGTCTAGAGAGGGTCAGTGACTGTCTGAAAGTGAGGTATTAGTGCTACATATACTCAGTTTGAGAGTAACATCTGAGGTAATCTGTCTTTACACCCTTTCAATATATACAGTATATAGCTGCGGTTACTGAGTGTCAGAGTGCCTTTGCCTATTACCGAAAGTTCTTCATGTAATTTTTGGCTTGATGGTTGCATTGTTTTATGCATATAGATCATTAAATCTGTTATCAAATTCTAAGTTTCTACAGTTGTGTGAACAAGTGTTGGCCCCCTTCCTGATTTTTCATTGTTTTGCACGTTTGTCACACTTTAATGTTTCAGATCATCAAACAAATTCAAATATTAGTCAAAGATAACACAAGTAAACACAATGTGTAGTTTTTAAAGGAAGGCTTTTATTATTAAAGGAAAACAAAATCCAAACCCACATGACCCTGTGTGAAAAAGTGTTTGCCCCCTAAACCTAATAACTGGTTGGGCCACCCTTAGCAGCAAGAACTGCAATCAGGTGTTTGCGATAACTTGCATTGAGTCTGTTGCAGCGCTGTGCAGGAATTTTGGTCTACTCATCTTTGCAGAATTGTTGTAATTCAGCCACATTGGAAGGTTTTCGAGCATGAACCGCCTTTTTAAGGTCATGCCACAACATCTCAATAGGATTCAGGTCAGGACTTTAACTAGGCCACTCCAAAGTCTTCAGGAAGCAGAGCGGTGGCCTGTCCTTGCCCTTATTGTATCACTACCACCAAGTAGCCATCTTTGACCAGATACAAGGGTGGCTGAAACCTAACCCTCCGAAACTTTGGGTGGCTATGGAGTGGTATTTTGCAAGAGAAAAATATGTTTGAAATGTTACTCTTTCTTAAACTTATCCCTAAGCAGTTTAAATCGTTTGTACCCTAGAATACAAACGACATTGGCGGCATTGGGTGTCCCTCCCCCTGTGCTCCAAACAAGGTTTGCCTTCTACGGTGTTTAACACTCCCATATCTTTTTTGGAACAATATATTCTACATCTAAACACTAAATCATGGCAAAAGAAGGGGTATCCAACTTATCTCGGATTTATTTTGCCAGGACCAAGTGTATAGCTTTGCCGAACTCCAAAGTAAACACCATCTTACAAGTTCAGATACTTTCCAATAAAAAATGTTCTTATATCGCAACCTATCCCAAGTATGCAACCTATCCTATAATTATGGATACTTCTTTGTGTAATTTCTTGTGTGAGGATACATGGACGCACAAAGGTATTTCCCTGTTCTACAACACCCAAGTTGGGTGATAGAAAATCCTTTCATAAGACCTCATCAATGAGGAAATGGGAGGAGGATTTATCCGCTGCCTACTCTGATGACCAATAGAAGGCTGCTATCAGGATATCGTATACTGGCTCTAAGTGCTCTGACCACTGGGTATTACAACAGAAAATTCTACATAGGTGGTACCATACACCATATAAACTAGCAAAATTTGGCAAGGGTCACTCATCATTGTGTTGGAGGAACTGCAACAAGATTGGCTCGTGGCACCATGTTTTCTGGTATTGCAAGTCTGTTAGATCCTTTTGGAACCATATCTTCAAGCTAGTGTCAGAACTGGCTGAGAGCGCGGTAGCCCCTATGGCAGCCTTAGCCTTGCTCCATTTGTCCATACAGGTTCTCCCGCTCTGTGCTAGAACAGTTATCTTGCATCTCCTCATAGCAGCTAAGATGCTGATCGCCCAACATTGGAGAGACCCCTCTCCACCAAATTACAATGATGTCACCCATAGGTTGAACCTCCAATGTGCCTATGAACGTATGTTTGTTTAGAAAAGCGGTAAATTTAACTCCTACCTTACAGCATGGGAGTGCTGGATTAAACACCCTATGTATAAAACTTGAAGATTTTGGGAACCTGCATGTTTCCCTGAATATTTCCATGTAAATTGTGTACAATATTCTCCTTGTACCTGTAATCATACCTGTCTTTTCTTTTTGGTTGCTTTTTATTTATTGTTTGCTGTCTTTTGGTTGACAAAACCCTAATTAAGTAATTTAAACAGAGAAAGAAGGTAAAAGATGTGAACTACTTTAGAAATTGACATGTGTACACTGTGTGAAAAATAAATTACAGTTCACTATAAACTACAGTTGCGTTAAGTAGAGTGGCAAATTTGGATTTTGTTGTATATTTTTCCCCCAACTATTCATTACATATGAGCCTTGCACAAAATGAATAACCTCTTAGAAGAAGTAATGAATTGCATACATTCATAATTACTTGCTGCTCTGACTTTAGCTTCTGAGTCACAAAATCATAAGAGCAAACATTACCATTGGACAGCTGAAATAGCAGATTTTGACCATTTTTTGTCATCTTTGGATGACAAATATACATTATATGTCTATGAGTACTTTTATTGATTCCCAGCTTTTAGCTTCTCCAACTTCTCTTTTAGCTTTTTGAACGAAGGACGTTTTGCTGGATCGTCCTCCCAGCAGCTCCTCATTAGGCTGTAAATTATACATGGGCAACTTTCAGGGGCCTCCAAGCGGTAACCATTGCATACCCTCTCATAAACCTCCTTTACTGTCTGTAAAAGGAAACAGAGGATTAATTTTTTTATTATACCGAAATATTGCAAAGAACAGTAAAACCTAATTACCATACTAGGGTATGGTCCTCGCCCATAAGCATAAACTTCCCACAAAAAGATCCCAAAACTCCACACATCTGATCGGGAAGAGAATTTCTAAAAGTTGAGAGAGAGAAATATGTAATTAAATCTAACAGATTGATTTTATAAAGTAAAAACACAGAGGAAGAAACACGGATGGCTAAGAAATTACTCCTCACATTGTGCAGCAGTGCTTCTGGAGCAGTCCACTTGATAGGAAGACGTTCGCATTGGTCTTTTCGCAGTAACTTAGACTGGGAAAGCCCAAAGTCACTGACTTTTGCAGTCCCCTGCCCTGATATCAAAATGTTCCGTGCAGCCAAATCACGATGTACAAGCCGCTTTTCTTCCAAATACTCCATTCCTTCAGCTACATCCCTACGTTTAAAAAAAAAAAAGAACAGGGAGATATCAAAATGCTAAGTACATGTTCATTCATGCATTACAGCTCTTGTTAGCAAGTATATGGCCACCAAGTTAAAAAGCAGCAATAACGTGTTTTAGCAGAAATACGCATAGTACATAGTATCTGCTGTAGCAATTCTGACCTTTAAGTAATGTCTGTGATACTCATAAAGGCCAAGGCTGTCCCTAAAATGAGGCAGCCTGAGGCTGTTGCCCCAGGCAGCATCTCATTGGGTCATGTGGGGGGAGTGGCAGGTGTGCATGACGTCCCCTTTCCAGCCAGAGCGTCCCAGGTTGCTAAGAGCTCCCTCAGTGAAGTCACTAGTTGCTAGGAGCTGAGCGGGACACTGTGCACCACAAACCGCCCCCATCCGTCCCCCTCAGAACCCTGAATTTCCACCATGACCCGCTGGCACCCCCCTTCAGAACGTGAACCAACAGTAACTAAACCCCCCACAGGAACATGCAACGCGAGAACCCCCCTCGTTTATGACTATAAATAATGATGACTTCATAGAAGGTAAGGATGTACATGTATGAATAGACTTCAAGTTTTATCAAGTGTTCTATTCAAAAGGAAAATGTACCGTATTTGCCGGCGTATAAGGCGACTGGGTGTATAAGACGACCCCCCTAATTTTCCACTTAAAACATAGGTTTTGGGCTATACTCGTCATATAAGACTACCCCACTTCCGAGGCAACACCATTTAAAAACATCATGGATGGATGTGCGGTAATACTGTATGTACGGTAGCTTCAGCTACATACAGTATACCGCGCTGAGCCAATCATGGCGAGCAATGTATTCTATTAATGAATACAAAGCTTGCTTGGATTGGCAGAGGTTGTGTACATCACTCGCCGTGACTGGCTCAGCTACTGTATGTAGCCAAAGCTACCGTACATACAGTATTACCGCATATCCAGCGGGCTGACAGATTAGGGATGTTTGTTGTGGGCCAGCTTAGCCTAAACAAACTAAAGGTATACATTGTATACCCCGCGTATAAGACGACCCCCGATTTTCGGGGGATGTTTTTAAGTATAAAAAGTAGTCTTATACACCAGCAAATACAGTAACTGCTAATAGGAACAATAAATGACAAACTCTTCCTCTGCTATCTGTATTCAAAAGGGTCATGAAATTGGAGCATGCTAATAGGACTGACAGGATGTAGAGCACCAGCAGGTGTGTGTGTAACTGCATACCAAATGGGTAATTGTCAATTGTTTACTGTGAGGCCAGGTTCACACCTGGGCGATTCGTGACCGTGCGGAAATTGTGCACGAAACCACGCGGATGGCCACGCTGTCACGGAATCGCACACCGCCGCCGATCGCGCTGGCGGTGCCATTATTTTCTAATGGCACTCCAGTCGTGCCAGGCAGATTGCACGGATTGCGCTGGTACATTACACAGTTCACTTTGACACAGATTCACATAAGGACTAGCTTTACATTTTCATAAATATTATAAAGCCTTTAGCTTGTTGGGACACTTTATATATGTTCACTTTGTAGTATCGCATCTACACATTTAAGGTCAATCATTTTTGAAGCTTGCACTGTGTTTAGTTATATTTCTGTTACAGTTTGTATGTTCTATATATAGTTTTCTTTGTGTAAGGGTTGCACTTAAGTTCACTATCTGTGAGGTAAGGTTAGCGCGGCACATTTATTGTTTGCTTTTGTGATATCTGGCTTTTGACCTGATTAAGTGTTTGCTGCTGGTACAGAGTGTTGGCGCGAGTTTAGAGTATGGTGCAAGCACTAAAAAATTACAATTTGTCCTTAAATGATATGGGAGATATCTGACAGGAAGGGTCTACAGCTGGCAATACACGGTACACCTATAGATTAACTGCAGATTTTCTATGGCCAGTTTAGCGTAGATGGAGGAATCTGTTGCACCTTTTCCATCTGACTATAGAAAATCTGCAGATAATCTATAGGTGTATGGCCAGCTTTAGGCATATCAGAGGAAGATCTGGTTATACAGCTGTCATAGGAAACAATGTGGCAAATAACATCTGCAAGCATTTAAAATAAAAAAAACCTGTGTATATAATTGTCATAGGGTAGATGGGCTTTAAGGACTACTGTTTGCTAACACTAAGATCAAAAGTGCTGAGGAGCGTTGAAGTGTTTTATGATAATTCACAGACACCTCCAGTATGAATTTTTTGATGACCATGTTTTTCACTCATTTACAGGGTGAAGGCAGCCGAGTGAATAACCGAGCTGATATGGCCGAACAACGTTCGGCTATTCACTAAGGTCTTCGACTCAGCCAATCCAACATCTGGATCGACTGAGCCGAAGCTCCAGCAGCTCACTCGCTGCCGTTCGCCCCTATTCTCAAAGGGGCTTAACGGCAGTGAGTGAATAGCCGAATGCTGCCGAGGGCCATTCGGCTCGGCTATTCTGCTCCGTACCTCCATGGTACCGAGCAGAATGGCAAATCAGTGAAAAGAGCGTTAAAAAAAAGACATTTGCAAAACGGATTTAACATTTGTTGAAAAAAGAGGAAGATTAAAAACAAATGTTTTAACAAAAAAAAACAACTAGCTCCGTCCAACTGTTTCCTATTAGCTGGCACCTGCTAGAGTCTTCAAGCTGGCACCTGCTAGAGTGGCCAAAGAGAGCCGAAGGATCAGCCGAAGCTATGGCTGGATCCTTCGGCTCTTTAGTGAATAACATATAAATCGGATGTACACATTGTCTAGGAGATGTAATGTGACCAATCTGTCCTCTGGACATTATTGCATAGGCATGTTTGGTATCTACTTGATTGTTATTATCTGGGGCATGTGCGCTCATATAAAACTCACTCTCATTTTACTTCACTCACCCTTCTGCTTCTCTTGACTTCTGGGGATATCTCTCCCAGTCCTGGCCCTATGTATTCTAATATTCACCCTCCAAACCAGCACTCCCTTTCCTCTGGCAGCAGCCTCAATCCACACACCCTAATTTCAAATACCCTGCTTCCTAGAACAAGTGCCCTCTGGAATGCCCGCTCTGTCTGTAACAAGCTCATCGCTGTGCATGATCTTCTTATCTCCAATTCTTTTAACATGCTTGCTGTTACTGGCTTCAGGAATCAGATCTAGCTCCCCTGCTGCCCTCTCCCAGGATGGCCTCCACTGCACGCACTTACCAAGAGCCAATTCACAGGAAGGAGGTGGAGTGGGAATCCTATCCCCACAATGCACTTTTCAAGTTCTGCCCTCACCTCCCTCCCTTTCCCTCTCCCTTTGAGGATTGCTGTAATATGCCGGGCTCCTGGACCAGTATCTCGCTTTCTTGATGACTTCTCTGCCTGGCTACCCTACTTTCTCTCCTCTAAAATACCCACTATCATTCTGGGAGACTTCAACATTGCTACTAAGATTAACACCCCGGCTACCACTCAACTTCTCAACCTAACCTTTTCTTTTGACCTAACAATGGACACACTCACTAAACTCCCTCTGATGGCAACATTCTAGATCTTGTGTTCTCTCACCTATGCACTCCCTGCAACCTCTCCGATTCCCCTTTTCCCCTCTCAGACCACAACCTTATCAGTTTCACGCTCACCCTGTCCCCAACCCTGAATCCCCCTAATCAGCACACTGTTACCCAGAGAGACCTTTTATTTATATAGAGGCCATATTCAAGAGCCTTGTGCTTTTAGCATAGCAGATTTAGACCTGGTTTCGGGCTTATCCTAAGCGTAGAATAGCAACATTATCATCTTTTCTACTTTTAACTCTCTACTTTTAACTCTCTATGTCCCCCACCGCCTCGCCCACTGACTCACTCTCTGCCCAGGACATTGCCATTCATTTCAAAATCAAAATAGATGCAATCCGAGATGGAATTGCCGGTGTCCAGTCACCTTCCCCTATTGCTGTACCAGTCCCACTATTACACTTGCTACTTTCCTCTTTTCACTGTGTAACCACCAAGGAGGTTACAAAGCTTTTCTCTGACTCCTGCCTCACCACTTGCCCCCTGGACCCTGTTCCCTTAACACTACTTCGGTCACCCTCTTTACTAACATTTTCAATCTTCCCCTCTCTACTGGCATCTTTTCTAAAACATGCACTAGTCACACCAATACCCAAAAAACTAGGGCTGCAACAACTAATCGATTTATAATCGATTATTGAAAAAGTTGTCAACTTTTTCAATCATCGATTAATGGGTCTCTGATTAGTTGGCCCTGTTCACGGCCCCACCCAAGCTGCACGCCACACCTCCTCCCCACCTCACGCTCGCAGCTGCCAGACCCGCCCACCCGAATCCACACGCCGCACCTCCTCCCCATTGTATTCCTCTATAGCTGGTGGTATTTTGCATTGCGCTGTATAATGTACTATTGCTGGATTTTGTAGTTATCTATAGCCGGTGCTATTCTGCATTCATTGCTGTATAATTTTACACTTTTAATTTCACTATATTGCACACCACACTTTTTCTTTTTTACTTCCACCGCTCCAAGCTTGCTCCTGTGACGGACTACAATCTCAATACAAACTAGTAGTCCCATCACTGGAGCTATTTTTTAAAATGTATTTGATTTTTTATCCGATTAACCGATTAATTGAACTTAATAATCGGCTAACTAATCGATTTTGAAAATAATCGTTAGCTGCAGCTCTACAAAAAACCTTCACCGGACCACACCAACCATAACAAACTCAGACCAATCTCCTTACTCCCATTCACCTGCAAACTCCTAGAACTCCTAACCTACAAACGCCTGTGCCGCTACCTCACTGATAACAATCTCCTCAATCCCTTACAGTCTGGCTTTTGCCCCTTACACTCCACTAAAACATCCCTCCTAATACTCTCTAACACCTTGCTAACGGCTGAAAACAATGGCCACTATGCCTTGCTCTTGCTATTAGACCTTTCTGCATCTTTTGACACAGCTGACCACCCACTGCTCCTCAAAAAACTCCACTCGCTTGGCCTACAAGACTCTGCTCTCTCATTGTTCACCTCCTACCTATCTAAGTGCTCTTTTAGTGTCACCTACCAATCTACCTCTTCCCCTTTCTGTTGGGGTTCGCCAAGGCTCTGTCCTTGGATCCCTTCTGTATCTACACCTACCTTGGTCAGTTGATCATCTCACGTGGCTTCCAATACCATCTCTATGCTGATGACACTCAAATATACTACTCCACTCCACAACTCACACCCTCAGTCTCCTTGTGTATCACCAATTTACTAACTGACATATCAGTCTGGATGTAACAACACTTCTTAAAGCTCAATCTTTCAAAAGCTGAGCTCATGGTATTCCCTGCCCCAGGGCGCCCTCCCCTAACTTTTTGATCAGGATTGATAACACAACTATCCATCCCTCCCCCATGCCGAGGTGCTAGGTGTCATCCTTGACTCGGACCTCACCTTTCTGCCCCACATCCAATCACTGTCCAAATCCTACCATCTTCACCTTTGTAACATCTCCAAAATATGCCCCTTCCTCATCAATGAAACCACAAAGCTACTCATCCACTCACTTGTTCTCTCTTGTCTTGACTATTGTAACTCCCTCCTCATTAGCCCACCACTGCACAGGCTATCCTGTCTTCAGTCTATCATGAATGCTGCTGCTAGACTCATCCACCTAACCAACAGCTCAGTATCTGCAACCCCCCTTCTGCCAATCCATCCACTGGCCTCCAATCGCTCAAAGGATAAAATCCAAAGTATTACCAACCACTTACAAACCATCTAGGCTATATCTCCAACCTTTTCTTATAGTATCACCCTAACCGTCATCTCCGCTCTTCCCAAGACCTCCTCCTTTGTCAACACCTCCTATGCTCGCCTCCAGGACTTCTCTAGAGTCTCTCCCATTCTGTGAAACTTCTTATCTCTCCCATTCTGTGGAACCGCCTATCTCCTACTCTGAGTACCTTTAGGCGATCACTAGACAGGGCCCTCTTTACCATCGTGTCTTAAATTGTATTGTAAATGTAATGTCTTCCGTATATTGTAGAGCACTGCGCACACTGTTAGCGCCATATAAATCCTGTATAATAATATTAATAATAATGAAGAAAAAAAAAAAAAACCTACATTAAGGAGGAAGCAGTATCGCCCCCATGAAAGCCGAGCTCTGTCCTTCACTTTGTTTTTCAGAGGTCAAACACAAATGTATATACAGAATACATTTCTACATAAAATTGATATGCTGTAAAAAATAATAAATACATTTGCAACTCACAAGCAAAAAAAGATAAGCTGCTGTGGTGGCACCGAAACACGACCCCTCGATCTGAGATAATTTCCAAGGTTTCCCTTAAAAGAAAAACAAGATAATAAGGACTATATCTTGACTTTGGAAAGTTTTCTTTACCTTTTGAGGGGATGGTGTAGAATTTCCTTACCTTACTCATGAATTCCATCACAATATATAGTCCATTGTGGAGGACAACTCCCAGCAGATTTACAAGGTTCTTATGTTTAAGTGTCCTGAAGAGACAATGATTTTACTATTATATAGTTCAAAAACAGTTAAATTTAGAGCTGATTTTAGAGTTTATCTGGAAGTGATTAAGTTGAAAACATTTCCCCAGGCACCACCTTAAACAGCTTTTTTTTCCTGCTGTCATAAATGGACACATTTATGACAGAAGCCAGCAATATATTAAACCATGGCTATTTCAGACCTTTGCAACTAGAGCAAATCACCCACTTTAACTTGTGTAGACTCATGTGCGAAAAACGTTTTAAATGCTTGTGTACTAACCAAAAAACAAGATTGTTTTCCTGGGACAGATTTGTATTCATTTTGGGAGCATATTTTTTAGAAATAATTGAATCAAAGCATAAAAAAATAAAATAATGAACTCTAGCCACACTCCTAGTCCAACCTAGCCCTAATCAATCAAACAATATCTAAAACAAAGGTTATCCATCGACATAAATCAGATTTGTGATCTTCCTAAAAGCTCTTCTCAAAATCACCCATTTATTGAGACAACTGTGTAATGTCTATGGAAAGCGCAACACTACCACAGACAATAGAGTAACTAACTGGAAGTGGGAAAAAAAGAAGTTTCAGAATTTTCTCTAAAGAATTTCAGTGTAAGGGAAAGGATGCTAAAAATACTATATATCCTAAAGCTTTAAGTGTTCCTCATTTTATGATTCCTTTGAAAAATACTGCATAGTATACTGATTTGTCTCCCTTTGCAATCTACCATTGAAAGTAGAAATGGTAAGTAGAAACTGCAAGTAGAGGCAGAGCTAGAGAGCAGATAGATCATATGACAAAACAGCGTGCTAAATGTACTGTTTGGTCAATCAGAGTTCTCTGTCACCTTGTGCTGTTCTCATTGGCTTACAGTGTTACCTCCTTTTATTGGGCCATTTAAAGACATTTGCGTCCTTGTTTTTAATCCACGGCATTGTAGCTTTGTCTGTGTGTTTAGGTTCCTTGACCTGCTGAAAGTTGAATCATCAACCCACTCTCTGCTCTCTTGTAGTCTGAAACAAGTTTTACTTTTGAACTGTATTATAGTCCACCCATTTTGTCCTCACACCCAACTATCTTTCCAGTCCCTGCCAGTACAAGGTATCCACACAAAGGGATACATATACTGTAGATAGTGTTTACAAAGGGAAAAGCATGGATGACTTTCCACAATGCATAACATTGCACTATGGTCAAATGTTCAATTTCGGTCCAATTAGATTAGTATGTGTCTCCTACCTATTTTCTACCAAACTCTACACAGGCTTTGATATGGGTTGTTTTCAGCAGTGGCTATTAGTTTCTCACATCTCAAATGTGGATCTTTCCATCTCTTATTATTGGCTTATTTCCTGCTTTTTGCACTAATGCTCACCTTACTCCCCTCCCCGGCCGTTTTGGTGACTCTAAATAACCTCGGGCCGATCGCACGTCCCTGTGACGGCGACGATGCATTCGGATGTCTGCCCTATCATCTTTTGATGGTACTTTCTGTGCCTACCATGCTGACCACGGGTAACGGGGAATCAGGGTTCGATTCCGGAGATGGAGCCTGAGAAACGGCTACCACATCCAAGGAAGGCAGCAGGCGCGCAAATTACCCACTCCCGACTCGGGGAGGTAGTAACGAAAAATAACAATACAGGACTCTTTCGAGGCCCTGTAATTGGAATGAGTACACTTTAAATCCTTTAACGAGGATCTATTGGAGGGCAAGTCTGGTGCCCGTAGTTGGATCTTGGGATTGAGCTGGCGGTCCACCGCGAGGCGAGCTACCGCCTGTCCCAGCCCCTGCCTCTTGGCGCCTCCCCGATGCTCCTGGGGTGTTCCAAAAACTGGTGTAGTTTTTTTTTTAGTGCATGTTATTTTTTAATTGCAAATATTTAGAGGGTTATTCACAAAGCTGTCGAAGGCAGCCGAGTGAATAACCGAGCCGAAGTGAACAGAGCCGAAGGACGTTGTCCACTCCGGCTCATTACAGCTGCTTTCAGCCGTACATCGGCTGAAATCCGCCGTACATTGGCTGCCTTCGGTCAGCCGAACATGCTCTGCCTTCGGCTGCTGTACCGGCTATTGTGAATATTCAGTCGAACCGAAGGGCAGGCGAAGAGAGCCGAAGGATCAGCTGAAGTTATGGCTGTATCCTTCGCTTCATAGTGAATAACTCTCTTAGAATATAACATTATGGATTATTTTGTGTAGGTCAGTGACATACTGTACATTCCAATTTAAATCCATTTGAATTCAAGGTGTATATACACAAAATGTGGTAAAGTCCAAAAATGGGAAATATTTTTCAAGCATTAAGGATGCCTTTTCTACTTTAATTAGTAGAATTACTACTTAAATTATTCTCCATTGATCGGGTCAGGAAGAAATTTTTTCCTATACTGTAAGATTTTGCAGATGCCCTTTTAGTTGTATTAAAATGATCACTGGCTGTCTGTATGCCTAGAATACAGGCTTTCACAATTATTTATGCTACCTAGAACAAATAGAACACCTAAACTTCTGTATGCTAAGGGAGGACAAACAGAGAATAAAATATGATCATGACCAGGAAGGCATGCTGTACCTTCTCTGGAAATACCCTAAATTAGTGCTGTATTGATGTGGTGATGTCCAACATAATAATGAGACACTCCAACTGCAGATAGAATGTAATCCTCTTATTTGATAATTTGATACTGATCCTTGATCACTATACTGTGGAGACTGTAATGAGAACACTATTTGTTGCTAGAAAACCAATACAACATACTCTATATATCCAATAACAATTGGTCCAAGAAAAAAAAAATGATACTACATCAGACTCAGCTGTGGACCTGTCTCCTGTGGTCTATACATCCTGACAAAAGGTCAATAGGTCCAATATTTTTGTCTACATTTTGACCTGATATGTATGGGTGTTTATACTGTGTGTTCTGTCTCCAGCTTATTGGTGGTCTTTCAAACAATGGATGGAGGGTGATGTTCTGTTTGGTTACTGTTATTATAGTATCATGTGATCTACATTTGGTGCCTTGTCTGTGTCAGCCGCCCTTGTTTTCCTGCCCCTTATCCCCCTTTTTGGCTTTGAAATGTAAAAAAAAAGTGTAAAAATGCAATTACAACATTTTATAAAATGTTTTGGAAGTTTGAAATTAAGAATTTTAGGCCTTTTTCACTTGTGTTTATTATGTTACTATCGAAATTAGCTTAAAGGAGAACTATGGGGTTAGGGCTTTTCCCCATAGTTGTCCTTAGGGTAATGGGAGGACACAAACTAGCGTCCACCCATCACCCTAAGCTCAGTATAGCTGTAGCTCGCGCTATACTGCGGTGTCTCAGTATACCGCGAGGTGTAGCTCGCGGTATAATGAGATGCCGCAGCTGAAGCAGATCCCGGCAATTATGTCTGGATCCGCCCAGCTGCGTGAGTGACAGCTGGCTCTGCCTATCTAGAGCCAGCAGAGGCAGAGCCAGCTGTACCCGCCCCCTCCCCCGTCCGTTCTGCCAGTCAGCGCTGGAGGATCGGAGCGGGGAGGGGGGAATCCAGCCACTCCCCTGTCACGCCAGAGAGCTGTGACAGGATCGAGAAGTGAGTGAACGTCGGTATGTGTTTGCTCACTTCACGATCTACTGAGCCGACCTGTGACAGTCTCATTGTCACACGTCGGCTAGAACTATGAGGTGAGTGAAAAGCACTCACCTCATAGTTCTCCTTTTAATCACATATGAACATCAGTAATAAAGTGAACATTTAGCCATGAATAAAAGACTGTCTGTAACATGCTATATTTTGAAACTCTTAAAAACTACTGGTAGCTTTTTATTGTGATGTTGAAATGAAACATTCTTTCTATGTTTAACCTCCTTCTTGATTGCTCAAATGTATTATACTCACGTCATAATGGCAGTTTCTGCCAAGAAGCTGTTTGTTGCAGTGATGTCGCATTTAATGTTCTTAATGGCTACAGGTTGTCCCATATATTCCCCTTCAAGGACATCTAAGGAAAACATAAAGGACCACAAAAACTATCAGTCCCAGGAGAACAGAACGAAAAACTTTCTGATTATAAAGATAAAATATTTCTGTTGATACCAGGGGCATAGTTAGAAATCACAGGACCCCATAGCAAAATTTTGTATTGCCCCCCTCCCGCAAACCGTACCCCCCACCGTATATCGACGGTATAACGACTGCCAATACCTATGGTATTGCATTTGCATTGCAGGCCACTGAAAACAAGGTGTATTGCATTTTCAACATATGCATTCTACATATAATATATAGATGCATTTGTTAAAAATGCAATACACCTTGCAGCAAGTGTTCGGTGACATGCAATACAGATTTTACATATATATTTATTTGGAATAAAAGTTTTATTGTATGATTTATAAAGTACTACAGTAACTCCTATGCCTGTTCTGCTCCCAGTCCCTTCTGTCGCCCCCAGGCTCCAGCATGCATGCATGCAGGTGGTACCACAACCTACATGCTCAAATCTTGATGCATTCCGATTTTCCTATTCTCTTGTTAGAACTTTATTGAAAGTCATGAATGCTATTTCATGAAGTTCTATCGGCACAGCACTGTGCAATGTAGTTGTATTGCACTGCACCGCTGTGCTGAAAAAAGTACAGCCTGCATGACTTTTTTTCAGCACACATCACCACAGTGCAGTGGTGTGAACTGAGTCCATTTAAAATAAGGCAAATTGCCTTGTCTATGCATTGGGGTAGCGCTGGAAAAGTTGCAGCCCCAATGCATCTTTAGTGACTTTAAGACCTCATTCACATGGGATGTTCTGGCATTCTTGTGGCAGGAATCCCAGGTGGCCCATTTAGATGTGGCCGCTGTACTCATTGAAGTTAATGATCAGTTTACAGCAGCTGCACCTGTAAGTGGCAGTCCGCATGTAATGGTATGCGACGTCAAAGCCGAAGTAAGAGCCAAAGAGGAGATAACTCCACCACTGCACTGCTACACTGGGCTGGCTGGCAGGAGTCATAACAGTTCCTTGAGGCAACAAATGAGAAGCTGTGTGTGGCCGTAGAAATCAGGACCCCGTTGCCCTGGGCCCCATAGCGGCCACGTGAGTTGCTGTGGCAGTAGTTCCGCCACTGGTTGATACTACATTAGAACCGAACACTTAGGCACCTACCTACTTATAAACATCTGGCGAAGGTGTAATCCGTAAACGAAGGAGCACGGTATACCCAATAACATAATTGACCAAATTTGGTCATGTCCATATTTGGTTAGTGATGTCATGGGGATTTGGGGTATACAGGCAGTCCCAGAGTTACGAACATCCGAGTTATGTATGACTCCTACTTACAAACGGAGGTCCCAGGCTGTTCAGTGGACTAGTGAGTTGTAATGCTACCGTGCTCGCGACGATGTTCGTAGTACTGTACCTCCTGTACATTACAGGTTGTTAGACGTGCAGACGAGGAGTGCCGGCCTCTTCTTCCAGGTCTGGTACTGTACATTACAGGAAATTGTACAAACAACTGTCCAAATTGCATTTAAAGTAGAACTCCATGCAAATTTTTTCATTTTTGTTTTGTTTTGGTTAGTATGGTGTGGGATTAGAGCCACTGTGAGGACTGCAAAACAAATGTTACAGGGGGTTAAACCTTCCCTATGCTATCTAAAACGAAAAAAAAAATTTTGGCTGGATTTGCAAAGAAATTTACCTGTTCCAACTTGCATACAAATTCAACTTAAGAACAAACCTACAGTCCCTATCTTGTTCATAACCCGTGGACTGCCTGTACCCCATCCCTTTGTATACATTCAGCTGTGGGACCCTGGATCTGATTGAGCACTTGTCTCTGTCAGGTGTGAATACGTGGTGTGTTTGTTCTTTCGGCAGGTCACCAGGTTTCATTTCACATGGCAGGGGGCTGGTATCCCTTTATTTTTAAAGGAGACTTACAGTTTTTGATAAGCCCCTATCCCCAGATGCCTCTTACAACTACCAGGCTAGGGTTGTGGGAAAGAGGAAGAGGCAGAGGCGGCTCTTTAATTGGGCGAGTTAGGCGACCGACTAAGGCCACACGCTCACGGAGGGCCTAGCGGTCACCTAACTCGCCTAGTCTAACGCTGGGGTAGGCATAGTCAGCGCTGTGGAGGGATAGAAAAAAGCACCTTCGTCGGTCTGAGTGTCAGAAGGGCAACCCTGCTGGGACTTCCACTCCACATTCCCCTGCTGGGACTCCACTCCGTATGCAGCCCAGCCTGGTTTTATTACGTGTGGCAGTGCAGCCCCAGCAGCAGCGGCAAGAGCAGGAGGAGAGAGGACCGAGACGGTGATCATCCAGACTGGCAGGCAGCATAAGGTAAGGAACCAGGGCAGCTATGGCGGACTCACTGCAGAGCATGGGGGCAAGCAGCTTGAACGGGACACAGATGAACCGGGAATCTGAACACTGTATTGAAAGATAACATTTTCAGATTGCCGGTTCATCTGTGTCCCGTTCTAGCTGCTGTTGATCAGAACTGGCCCAAGGAACTGTTATGACCCATGTGAAAGGGGCCTTAAATTCCACCTTATATTCCCACTTGCTACACACTAAACTAGGCAAATGTCCCCTTACAGTCAGAGACAAATTGCAACTTCATATATCCACAGAAGATTGGGGTGATGTGCTCTTCTCATTTTTCATATTGCCAGAAATCAATAATCAGCTGCTTCAATCTTATATTATACACCAAATGGGAGAGAGGTATGTCCACCTCTGTTTATAACCTTAAACAGATTCTGTGCATGTTATTTGGTGTTGCCTGGTTATAATTGACTTCTGGAAGGAATGGGGGCAAACAGCTAGAATGGGACACAGACGAACCAGGAATCTGAACGAACACTATATTGGAAGATATAATGTTCAGATTCCCGGTTTGTCTGTGTCCCGCTCTAGCTGCTGTGGAACTCTAGGTCCACAAGTCTGAACAAAGCTCAGCAATTCCCCACTATCACCAATCCGAATTGAATATAACAGCTGGAATATGACATGGTGACTCTCTTTGGTGGGTGTCAGGAAATAATGGGATTACATGTCACCTTGTTATGGGAGTTAGGTGTCTTATCCTGATGTGATCTATCAGTCCTCCTTCTGCTATCTTCCATCTGCCCCTGCTGAGATCCTCCATCTGTGCCTGCTGCGATCTTCCATCTGCACCTGCTGAGACCCTCCTATCAAGACATCAGGCAGCACCCCAGTGCATAGTAGCAGCAACGAGTATGTAGCAAATTCATATACTATTCTGCATTGCTGTATAATGTATCACTGGGATTTGTAGTCCTCCATAGGAGGTGGTATTCTGCATTGCTGTATAATGCATTGCTGGGACTTGTAATCCCTCTACAGCTTGGAGTCAGTGGCAGAACTATCAGGGTTGCAGCGGTTGCAGCTGTGACCGGGCCCTGGTGCTCCACCACAGTCCTAAAATCATTACTTTGTATTGTTTTAGAAAAACTGTCACATGACACTAAAAAAAGTATCTTGGTATCGGCGAGTACTTGAGGAAAAGTATTGATACTTGTACTGACTCGTGTGACTGTGGGGGGACATTTGTAAGCTCCTTTGCTGCAGAGACTGTTGTGACTGGGTTAGTTTTTTTCTGTACTGCACTGTGGTATATGCAAGAGGTATAGTTCCTTAGGTCCTCCACTGTGACTAATTTGTTTAGCAGAGCATACCGCATGTGCCACAGCCAGTGGCGCAACCAGAGTTATGGGCGCCCGGGGCAGAACATATTTTTTTCGCCCCCACACATATTATATAAACATCCACTGGAACTGTACCCCCCACCCCCACACATATCAGCTAAGGAACTACAAGTCCAAGCATGCCATCATTGTCCCTGTACACCCCCCCCCCCACACACACACATATCACCCAGGGAACGGCAATATCTGGTTGTTGTACAGGGGCAATGAGGGCATGCTGGGACTTGTAGTTCCCTAGCTGATATGTTATGAAGCTGTATTCCACCTGAAAGTACTACAATGCCATTATAGAACTAAGAATAGAACATAAAATAAAACTTTTTTTTTCTAATACTCACCTGATTCCTGGATCCACCAACAAGCGCAGCCTCCGTCTACCACGCTGTTAGAAGCTGCATACAGCGTCTGCTGGTTACTACTTAAACCGACGCGCGCAGTGTGCAGCTTCTGAGAAGATACGCTATTAGCATAGCGGGGAAGGCGGCTGCGCATTTTGCATAGCTCCAGCTACGCTAATAGCATATCTTCTCAGAAGCTGCGCACGCCGGTTTAAGTAGTAACCAGCACACGCTGTATGCAACTTCTAACAGCGTGGGAGACGGGAGGCCGCGCTTGTTGGTGGATCCAGGAATCAGGTGAGACTCCAGCACGGCCGCATAACCTGCCATAACGGAGCCTGTTGCCTGCTGCCTTAATCTGTTTGACAGTCGGCCCGGCAAGCGCCCCCCGCCATCTATGCGCCCGGGCAAACGCACCCCCCACCCCCCGGTTGTTACGCCACTGGCCGCAGCAGATGGTAATACACAGAACACACTCGCAGGGAGAAAATAGAAGCGAGCCCAAAAACGGATCTTTAATTAACGAAGCAGAACTGGAGAATGAGTCGATTTGAAGCCTCACCTTTTGTGGTGGATCAGGAGGGGCGCCACCATTACAAAAAGAGAGCCCAGAAGTGTGGGGTGGGGGCAGGGAGTGTGTAAATGGAGAACATCTACTGGGGGGGAGAAACTTTGAGTCTTCGCCCTGGGTGACAGAATGTCTAGCTTCGCCACTGACTGTGTGCAACCAGAAATGCTACCAGCTCACTGCCATCCTGTGCCCAAGCGCCCACATGTAGGTTCTGCAACTCCACACAACCTAAATGCTGGGCACCGGGCAATCTAGTCCCCCTGCTGTGCCTGAATGTCACCTCAGCGAACTCTTTTGGCCGTCTCTCCTTGCTCTTTCTCCTGGCGGTCTCTCCTCGCTCTCTCCTGGCTGTCTCT